AGTTGTCTGACGTCATGTGAAAAGGGTCTATTGTAAAAGACTGCGTGTTTGAATGAATAAAGTATAAACAAACCCTTTCTTTCTTCCTCTACTTCTTGTGAGATTTATTTGCGGTTGGAAAACGTCTTTCTTCCTCCAAGTTTATTTTATGATTTGTTCTGTGTTCGACTGCCCCTAGTGGTCTGGAGCACATCCGCTTTTGTGGAGCAAGTTTGCGTGTCTTCCACTGTTTGCAGCGTTTTTCTGTTTGTGTTGTCATTTGTGTTTGGATGTGGTGCATTTGTGTTTGCATGCGTTTTTGTGTTTGCATGCGTGTTTATTTTAGTTTGCGTTTTATTTTTTGTGTTTGCATTTGTTGTTTGTGTTTGCGTCTTTCTTTTGGTTGCGTTTTTTTGTGTTTGCGTGCGTTTTTTGTTTGTGTTTGTATTTGATTTTTGGTGTTTGTGTTTGTTTTTTGTGTTTGCATTTTGTTTGTGTTTGTGTGTTTTTGAGTTTGCATCATATATGTGTTTGCTGCGCGTTTGCACCTGTTGGCCACCGTATCCGAATGAGGACTGTCATAAATTCTTTAAATGAATAGCCTCAAAATTAGCAGATAAAGCGGAGGGAATGGTCTTGGTTGGTGGGGACTTTAATTGTGTACTTAGACCATACTTGGATCGACTCCCAGTGGGAGTGGGGTCTTCATCATGAAAATCTATAACTCTTAATGCTATGATGCAGGAGCTAGGCTTAATAGACATTTGGCGTCATTTGCACCCTAGAGAAAAGGATTTTACTTTTATGTCACAAGTTCATGGTAGTTATTCTAGACTGGTTATGTTCTTGATAGCAAGGGGGGATACTTATAGAGTTAGTAAATGTAATACAGAATCGATCACTATATCGGATCATGCTCCAGTTTTATTCAAATTAAAGATTGGACTGACTAACCAGTTTAAATACTGGAAACTTAATGTATCTATTAAACGATGAGAAAATTAGACAAGACCTTCAAAAAGCTCTGAAAGAATATTTTGAGTTAAACGATAATGGCACAATCTCTCCCTCAGTATTATGGGAAGGGAGTAAAGCTGTAATGAGGTGCAATATTATTGCCATTACTTCTCAATTAAAGAAACAGAGGCTTGTCAGGCAGTTTGAGCTGGAGAAGGACATTAAAAATTTAGAAATATTATTTCAACAATTTCAGGACCAGAAAACATGAGATAAACTAAAAGAGACTAGACAGAAATTAGACGACTTACTAACCTATAAAGCAGAAGGGGCATTGCAATTTTTGAATAGAAAATATTATGAATATGGCAATAAAGCAAGCCGCCTAATGGCTTTTCAGTTGCGTAAAGCTCAGAGTGGTAGGTAAAATTAAATGTCCCTTGACAAATAGGATCATTACACAACCACAAGAAATTACTAAGGCCTTCGCTGATTATTATAAACAACTATATGAGGAGGAAAAAATACCTGGAAAATTTGAAACCCCCCCCCCCCCCACACACACACACACACACACACTTTTAAAATCAGTTAAAATGTCCAAATTAACACAGGATGAGGCTGAGTTCATGGTACACCCTATAACACAAGAAGAAATTAAAAAGAGCATTCTTAGCCTTAAAAATGGCCAAACTCCAGGAGTTGATGGTTTATCAGGTGAATATTATAAGGCTTTTCTGAACGAATTGACACCTATTCTATATAAAGTCTACAACTATGCTCTGACACAGGGAGACCCCCCAGGGTCATGGTCGGAGGCAGTGATCAGTGTTGTTCACAAAGAGAGTAAGGATCCGACTCTTTGTACCTCCTACCGTCCAATCAGTCTTATGTGTGCAGATATTAAAATTCTAACCTCAATACTTGCAAATACAATTCAGAAGTATATAAAAATCTGGTTAAACCTGACCAAACTGGTTTTATTGTCAATAGACAAGGATGTGATAATATTAGAAGAGCCCTAAATTTACAAATAATTGTAATGAAGGAGGACACCCCATCGATGTTTCTTGGTCTAGATGCAGAAAAGGCCTTTGACTGAGTGGGCTGGTTATTTCTAGAGCAGTCACTAAGATATGTGGGTTTTAAGGATGTATTTGTGGGCAGCACGGTGGTGCAACTGGTAGAGCTGCTGCCTCTCAGCGAGCAGGTCCCTGGTTCAAACCCCGGTCCAGGGGCCTTTCTGGGTGGAGTTTGCATGTTCTCTCCGTGCATGCGTGGGTTTTCTCCAGGTGCTCCAGTTTCCTCCCACAGACCAAAAACATGCATGTTAGGCTGATTGGTGACTCTAAATTGTCCCTAGGTGTGAGTGAGAGAGTGAATGGTTGTTTGTCTCGTTTGTCTCTATGTGTCTCTGTGATGGACTGGAGACCCGTCCAGGGTGTCCCCCGCCCCTCACACAGTGATTGTTGGACATGGGCACCAGCGACCCCCGTGACCCAAAATGGAACAAGCGGGTAAAGATCATGGATGGATGGATGGAGGATGTATTTGTTGACTGGATAAAAATATTCTATAGGAACCCGCCAGGGAGATGCTCTTTCACCCTGTTTATTTGCTCATCATATTGAACCTTTGGCAGAGCTAAGAAGAGCAAATCCCCTCATACGAGGTATAACAGATTATGCAAATATACTAGGGCTGTTGTAAATGAATATTTTAGTAATCGAGTAATCTATAGATTATTCTGGCGATTAATTGAGTAATCGGAAACAGAATTTGTCAGGTTCTGGTAACTGGTAACTACCGTACTCATTTTATGTGTAATACAAATACAGGAAAAAAGAACATTAAATAAACAACCCATTTAATTAACAAAGTCCTTGCTCAATAATCCAGGTATAAAATCCAACATTTTTCAGTCAGGTCATCTGGACAGTTTCTGATGAAGCCTTCCGGATCGAAGGCGAAACGTTTCAGCACAAAAAAAAGAAACTGTCCAGATGACCGGACTGAAAAATGTTGAACCCGTTTAATTCCTCTTTTTAAAATATTTTATTGCTTAAGTTGAATTATTTTTAAACATCACATAAAAATCTAAATGTTGTAAAATAATTTTTATGGATTGGAAAACTGGGCAGCACAATGGTGCAACTGGTAGAGCTACAGCCTCTCAGCAAGCAGGTCCTTGGTTCAAACCCCGGTCCAGGGGCCTTTCTGGGTGGAGTTTGCATGTTCTCTCCGTGCATGCGTGGGTTTTCTCCGGGTACTCCAGTTTCCTCCCACAGACCAAAAACATGCATGTTAGGCTGATTGGTAACTCTAAATTGTCCCTAGGTGTGAGACCACATCTGCTTCGCCCTTAACCCACTAAGCGAAAGCCTTAAAGGGCGAAGCCTATACGAAATAGAACGTTGGTTACGTACTGTAACCCCAGATTCTATGAGTATAGGCGTAGCCCTTTAAGCATCGGGCCTCACTGGCTCCTGAATGGCTGAAGAAAAAGCTGTTTGGGAGCCGATTACCTGCTCTCACCGTAATTTATACGGACCGGGTGGGGCCCACACGACAGGTGGGCGTGGACTAAAGTTTTCAGTGCTACGCTTTGCGTGACGGGATAAAACCCACTAGCGAGGGCCTTAAAGGGCGAAACCTATACGAAATGGAACATTTTGCTTCCATCCAGGAATCTTTCTCATTTCAATTTTTTTGGTTAATATTTGTTTTACATAAGAACTATAAGTTATTAAGTTATTTTCATAAGCTTTGGATATTTCCAACTTCAAGGTTCTTTATTGTCATTCACATCACGCCACGTGTTACACGAGGTGGAACGAAATTGTTTACCCAAGATCCCAGTTATACCCAAAAATTGAGATGAGTCTGTCTGTTTTCTGTGTTACCTGCACCTCTGTGTTTTTCCTCATCTTCATGTGCACAGCTGATCCTCATTTTAACAAGTTAGACATGTTGCTGCTGCAGATCCAATCTCTGTGAAACAACGTTGACTCACAGCTTTGAATTTACACTTGTCTTTTAACAAGAAAGACATGATGTTCCCAAACAGGAGACCACAACGAGATGATAGGCTGCTAATGCTAGCGTGATGCAAGATAATAGCGCTGTGCTGAAACACGCTTAGGAACTTTAGTTCCGCGGCACATAATCTCTCGTTAATAAAATTTAATGAGTGAAAAAATAACCGAAACGGTACGCACGTGGACCGAACCAAATCTGCCATACCGAAACGGTTTGGTACATCAACGTGCACTGTTACACCCCTAGTAGTTACGATACTTGCATAACACCTAGGGACACTAACTTGTACAGATTTTAGTGATATTATTTGGTGGTAAATGAGATCTTCAGGCATCTGAGATGTTTTCATCTTACAGGCTGAGCCAGGTTGAGATTGCAGGAAGTAAAACTGAGACGGGGGCTAATATTGATTAAATTTACGGGAACGTTGCGGTGCATGATCAAAATTGCGACTTGAGGCAAAATTTGCAGGATGGTAAAATATGTGTTTTGTTACATTCACGACTTCCTGGAGGGCCTCATTTCACTTGTGCCCTTGTCTTTTGTCATTTTTGTATTTTAAGCTGTTTTGTCCACTTATGTCTAACTGAAATCAAATGATGTGTCAACCAGATGTAATCTCATTCAAGTCTCTCTTTAGATTTCCTTTCAGAAATGTCAATATTGTTATATGAATTATTTCTAATTTTTCAACAAAAAAAAACCAACACATTTTTGCTTAGGCTTTACTGTTAGCATTGTTTATATAATGTATTTATATATATATATATATATTTTTTATTTATTTATTTTTTTTAATTATTTTTATTTTTTTATGTATTATTTTATTTTTCTTAAATATATATTTATATAAAAAACTAACTTTGCTTTTTTGTGTTGTGCCACAATCCAGGCCTCATGGAGCCGAGGACTCGATGCCTGCAGGGCAACCGGAAGCTTGATCCATGCTTGGTTGTCAACAAACCCTAATTACCCTTCAACTCATTTTCTCATGCTTTGCTGGAAATTGCTTGAGTGGTGATATCATTCTACCCTATTTTTGACCCGCAATATGATTGGAAAACTGAAACAGAACCTACTGGTGGCCTGCCTGGTCATTAGCTCAGTCACAGTCTTCTACCTTGGACGCCATGCCATGGAGTGCCATCATCGCATCGAGGAAGGCAGCCAGCCTGGTGGAATTCTGTCTCTGTCGGCGCTCGGAGGCAGCATGCGGACCACTGTACGGACAGGCCAGAACTTCAGCACACCTTTTCCTTACAACAAAGACATGCCACTCATTTTTATTGGTGGTGTGCCCCGAAGTGGGACCACTCTAATGAGAGCTATGCTGGATGCTCACCCAGATGTGAGATGTGGTGAAGAAACTCGTGTCATTCCACGAATCTTGGCAATGAAGCAAATGTGGAGCCGTTCAGGCCGGGAGAAGATGCGCCTAGATGAGGCTGGTGTGACAGACGAGGTGCTGGACGCCGCCATGCAGGCCTTTCTGTTGGAGATCATTGTCAAACATGGTGAGCCTGCCAACTTCCTCTGCAATAAGGACCCATTTGCACTGAAATCGCTTTCCTACTTGGCCAAAATTTTTCCACGTGCCAAGTTTGTGCTAATGATTCGTGATGGCCGAGCTTCAGTTTACTCCATGATCTCACGGAAAGTGACAATTGCAGGCTTTGACCTGGGCAGCTACCGGGACTGCCTGACCAAGTGGAACCGGGCCATAGAAACAATGTATACTCAGTGCCTGGAGGCAGCAAACAAGTGCCTTCCATTGCACTATGAACAGCTGGTCCTCCATCCAGAGAAATGGATGCGGACACTGCTGAAATTCCTCGATATACCTTGGAATGATGATGTCCTCCACCATGAGGAGCTCATTGGGAAAGCTGGGGGAGTTTCCCTTTCCAAGTAAGTACTCCTTAAACCTTTTATATAAGACCCTAACCACCTTCAAGCCCTAAAGGCATATTATGTGATTAACTTTTTGTGATTAATGTGTGTTAACTTTTGTAATCACCCCTTCAAGATGGAGGCCACAGGTAATTGGCTTTAACAATCATGTAAACAGTTTTACAGATACTGTGCTAAAGTTTGTATGTTGCTCAGCACCATCCCCTACATATACACTGATTGCTAATTGGTTGCATGAGAACTTCATTTAAAACTTTGCCATTGACTACTGGAGTTGACTCTCTTTGACTTTTAGCTAAATATCATTTGAACCACTGGTAAAATTTAAATGAAACTTTCAGAAATTAATTATTGAATGCACATGTACAACTGTTTAGCTTTTGGAATGAATTCAATTTAAAATGGCCACCACAACCAACTAACCTTAAAAAAACATAAAAATAGCTATAACAGTCAATTGAGCAGACACTGAGCTAAAACTTGATTGTTGTCATAGCTGAGAGTCAATTACACTACACACATATACATTTCAATTGGTTCTTAACATGTATTCAGAACTGGCGGGAGTTGAACCTGTTTTGATTACTTACTTTAAAACCTTGGCACGAAAGGCAACGGAATATGCATTCTTTTAAGGAATGCTGGGTTTTCATATAATTTACTTTTTAATTTTGTTCTTAAAAACAGACAGCAGCTGTACTTTGACAATAGCAGTGTATTTTTTTGTTTATATGTGTGGAGGAGTTGTGTTTTCAGAGTTAGAAGACAATAATCCATTGTAATGCCTTTTTTCAACAGATCTTTTATGGCATTTTCCTTAAACTGAAATGGTCATGGTTTGTACTTTGTTTCATCGGAAGGTTGAGGAATACCAGAATTGCGATGCTCCAGTCTGTAATGTGTTAAACACAAAGTAATATAAAAAGGAATGGGTAGAAGATTAAATTAAATTCAATGTATTTCCTAAAGACTAAATGGAATGAAAAAAAAACCAGGAGTGGTAGTCATTCTGAATGGGAGCAGGACAGGAGCAGGAGTCATGTTACCAGGAGTGGGACAGGACAGGATTTTTTCTGTGGGACCAGGACAGGACTGGAGTGAAAATCCACTCCTGTCATCCTCTTGTCCCCACATTGGAAAAGTGGTATCACTGGCCTTTAGTCTGTATGTTGAAATGAACCTCAGTGGTGTTGTTTCCAGTTCTTTGAATTCCTTACGACCACTGAGGATAGACCGAGTCATCAACAGTCCAAGTCATGCTGTGAATCATTCTCAAATTATTTATTTTCTCAGAGATTTGTGGTGATTTAAGCTGTTTGGAATGCAGTTTTGGAAGGTCTGCTGTGATAGCGCATGCTCATGTTTGAGGCAGCAGTATTTACTAAAACTGTTCCATAACTATACACTTCTACAGTTTATTATAAAGCTTGTTACAGTGGGTAAATAAATACTAGATTTGAACTCAACCAGCTAGATCTGTCAAATCCTAAATTCTTAGTGCAATAAAAATAACTAATAGTTTAGTTTTCCTGTGACTTATTTGCAGTATGATAAATGGTAGGAGCATAATATACGCTCCCAATGTATTGTTGGTCTTTTTTTTGTTGTTGTAAATAATTACCTTTTATTGCGGTTTTATTTATTTATTTATTTTTGTATCTTGAGATCTATGACGTCATCAAATACTCGAGTTCTACTCGGGTTTTATTATGTTAATGTCGAGTTTAAAAATTATATACTCGTTCAACCCCTACTATACAGCTGTTTTTATGCTAATATAAGCTTTTCTGCAAATTCCACATTTTTGTACTCATTTAACCTTTTTTCAGCCTAATTCAGCAAATATGTGCTCTCTCCACTTCCTTCTGGTAATTTCAGCTTCTTTTTACTTTTTAGCTACATTTCAGCAGTTTTTTTTGTTAATTTCAGCCTTTTTCAGATACTGGTAATTGCCTCCTTTTTGTGCTCATTTTTGCTTCTTTCAGCCTAATTGGGCAAATGTGTTCTTTCTGCTTTCTTCTGTTAATTTAAGCTTGCTCTACCTTTTCAGCTAACTTTTTAGAAAATTTTAGCTGTTTAAAATAAATTCAATTTTTTCGGGGTAATTTCTGCAACTTTTAGCCTAATTAATTTATTTCTGCTCCCTTCAGTTTTTTCTGCTATTTCAGATATTTTTAGGTGTTTTGCGCTAAATTTAACTTTTTCAGCTAATTGTACATTTTTAAGCTCATTTCAGCTCCTTCCACTTCCTGTCACCCTTGAGAAAAAGACATGTAGGTCAACAGTGTGTAAATTTATAGTGCAGGGGTCTGCAACCTGAGGCCACATGCATCTCTTTGGTTCCTCTGCAGAGGCTCTTTGTGCCTTTGATTAAAATAACAACATATAAATGAATATTTATGTTTAGAACCACAGTCAGAAAAGCTTATTGTAGGACTTCTCTTGTCCAGTTTTCTTCAATATGTAAAAAAATATTTCTGGAACAGATTAGGACAAGAAACAGTTTCTTTCATTTACTTCCAGACATACAATGGGGTCTAAATCTTGATTTAAAATTTTTTTTTTTTTTACCATTTATGGCAAGTTGCTGAGGGACAAAACACAATGTGCAGTTTTTCAAACATTTTCTTCTTATGACTAGGGGTGGAACGAGACTCATCTCATGAGACGAGACAAAACAGTCGTGGGTCCAAAGGAATGACCCAAAGTCAGAATCGGAATAAGCTTTATTATCATTGTACCGGGATACAGTGAGAATATGTTTGTACAGTCGGCTGAAAGATGGGTGGAGTGCACGTTTGTTGCTGCTACAAGTGTGCGGCCCCTTATTCTTTATCAGAATACTTTTAGATAGAAAAAAGGTAAAAAGGCCATGAGGATGGATAGTGGTATTACAAAAAATGTTTCTTCATACCTTGTTGTATCAGGACACGATTTAAGACATCAAAAACTATCAGCAGCACATTTATAAACACATTACATATGCATTTGATGTCAAGACGTTGAGATTTGTCCATGAGAGCTTTCAGATTGGTCACAGTCCTGATAATGTTGTTGTTGTTCAGTCGGCAGTGCTGATAAGCCTGCACAGAAGTTCTCGGGGTGTTGCAATAGACAAAGCTTTTTCCCTAGTTACCCATGTCCCAGGAGAAATTTGATAGTCAGCCCGTATCCAAGGCCAAACAAGGGAGTCAGATTCAGATAAACCACAATTGTTGATTTTCTTCAGGCAGACAGTTTTTTTCTTGTCAGTCTTGAGTCCTTTCCGAACCCAAAATAGCAAGATTCATGGGCATTCCACTTCACTGATCCGTGCTAGGAGCCACCTTCAAGGTCAATTCCAACGTGCTGGCGAGTCCTAGGAGCTGCAGGTGGCCTGATATTCTCACAAATTGCTTCCATCTCATGGTTTAGCTTTTAAATAAGCTGATTTTGAGTACTCATAGCCCGAATCAAACCATCACACTGACTCTGAAGTTTTGCCATGGCTGAAACTGCAGCCAATGTCTTCTTCAAGTTGATAACATAGAGCTCCGCCGAAGCCAAAAAGCAGAAACCCTGCTATCATGAATCCAATTATATAAACGTCTTTGGTGTCCTCCTGAGACAGGACTGAAAGACACATCAGCTGCCAAACTTCCCATGGATCCCTGATGTACCCTGCAATGTGAGTCTCAGCCGGACAAAAGGGATCTTCAGGACCCTGTAGTTTTGTTGAAAAGATTTTGTCGATTGCATTGAAAGTTCAGCTCACCAGATCCATAATGGTATTTTTGTTTTGTTCAGAAGATGTGTACCAGGAGCTCTAAAAGACACACAGAGGGCAAAAGCAGGAGGAAGAGGAGAACAGGGGGAGGGAGAGGAGGAGGCATCCGTCTTGAGCGAGTGCGACCGGTGAAAAATGTGATTTTAACAATATTTTAAAACATGCAGTAAATAAAAAGCTTTTGCCACAAACTCAACTGGCTGGCCTCTCTTAGATTTCTCACGAGTCTCCTTGTTAAAGCTGTGTGACCTGCTAACACATTGGAGACAAAATCATTTTCACAAAAAAGCCAAAATTCAGACCTGATCTAAAGACCACCTGTTTTTATACGCCTGTCGAAGGCGGGATGCATTGTGTACAGTCGCCATCCATCTGTAAACTTTCTCTTGTCTGGCCCATAACTTCTGATACACTCAAGACAATTAAACAAAACTTCATACACATGCATCATCACTAGGCAGAGTGTCACATGCACTTTTTATTACTACTGGTTCAAAGTCAAGGTCACAAATCAAGGTCAACTGTAATACGAGGCCTTTTCTTGTCCAGCCTGTTGCTATAGATCACTCTATTGCTGTATTATAGTCTGTGGATGGGTGTGTAAGTGCTGTGTGTGGTACTGTAGTTAAAACTTTATTTTAAAACATTTGCCATGTGTTTCTAGTTTATTAAGTCAACATATTCATACAGATATGAAATTAAAATTTCTCAATGTTTTTTTCATCAGTCAAAACAGTTTGATTTTTTTAATTTTATTAAAAACTTTTTTTATTTTTATGTCTTGAATTTAAAACCCTTTATTTCTATGGGGAGTGGTGTCGTAGAGTTTAGAGAAGGTGGGTCAGTGATTGGAAGGTCACCGGTTCAACTCCCTGTACCGACAACATCAAAATGTGGGTAGGAAAGGTGAAACACCCACACCTGCCTCCACCCTCATTTACCCCACTCTGGGCCCTTGAGCAAGGCCCTGAACCCCCACCATCTGCTCCCCCGGGTGCCCTAGATAGCAGCTCTCTGCTCCACACAGAGGCTGTGGTAGCTCGGTGTCTGTGGTTGAGCCAGGAAGGGCATCTGGTGTAAAAACAATCGCCAAATCTACATGCGAGTTACTTTGCTGTGGTGACTCCTGAAGAAGGAGCAGCCGAAAGAAAAACGTTTCTAATGAAACTATTTTACTACAAGTCATAAACAAAAATTAAATGACACTAACAGCTGAAAACCAAAGGGCAGT